ACTTTTCTGTTATCTCATGGGGGTAGGTCAGTGGCTCCAGAGCCATTTTATAGTCCTAGAACTTGGATTTCAGAGAGGTTAAACAAATTTCCCTAGAGTACACATGTGTAAAAGAAAGGGCAGAGCCACACCCAAATCCAAAAATCTGGTGTTGGAAAGCTCTCATGCCATAAAACATCTTCTTTTGGTTCATCTTTGATGCCTCAAGTTCTACTCTTTAATTTTCTTGGTAACTTAATGGATTTTTCTTCTTCCTATAGGACATCTGCATTTCAATTCTTCAGGAAGCAGTACGTCTCAGTGTGAATTAGTCAGTTGGCTCCTTCCCACCTGAGAGCAGCTTCCTACGGAAGTTTTTCAGCATGCAGGGAAGGAGAGGGCTGGAGGGAGCCAGGCATGGTAGGTACTCACAGGCCACGCAAGAGCCCAAACTCTTGCAGTGCTGATGGCTTGGTAGTAGGGGTGTGGAGAGAGGTCCAGAGAAGGCTGCCCAGGAGACCAGTGGAAGAGAACGCAGGAAGAGGGCAGAAGGTCACTTTCCTTCTTTTTACTGGGCCAGCTAAGTAAGACCTCTCCAGTCCCCTTGTGGTACCAGCATTCATTTGGTACAAAACACTGAATTCCTTGGAGCCATTACTTGAAGCCTCTGTGTTAGCAGCAGTCTGGGAACGGTTCAGCCAGAGGTGTGATATGCTCCCTGTAGACCCATAATTCTAGGAGCTGCATTGTTTCCTAATGGGATCACTGGTTCTGGACTCATAGTGCTGAAAGGGGCCCCTTTCAGAAGGGGGGAAACTTAGAAGTCCTACAATCAGCAACTGAGACCAACAGGGATAGGGACTTGCCCAAGGCCACACAGTGACTTAGCTTGGCCCAAAGTTGTTGCAATCAAGTACACCTGAAAAACCTTAATGGGAGAGGTTGGGAGGGAAGGTGGAAAACATTTTGTCAAGCATTAGATTATGACAAGTTCTTCTGAGAAGGTTTTCTATACTCCAGAAGTTTAAAAATGTGGTGACTGAAGGGGGCCTTGTGGATAGTTTTAAGCATTTTGGTCGTATTACTGACATTTGAGTATTTCCACTTGGCTTTTACTGTTTGGTTAATAGCAGCAGCAGCAGCAGCAGCAGCAGCAACAAACTCTTATGTAAAATTTATCTCTGAATGCCAAAGCAGTTTCTTTATCTAAATATAGTATACAAAAAAAGAGGGAGGTGTTTAAATAAAGTAGCTCTGTATTAATTTCCCTTTGTGCTTCCAGATCAGGTAAGGGGCCATGTGGTTCAGAGAAAGGCCCCACTTGTTCTCCACTCACTCAGTACAAGATCAGGGAAGAATACTGGACCTGGCAATTAGGCCTCCTTCCTCTGAAGAGGTCAGGGCCCTCAAAACTCATCCATGAGTCCCCACAGTGAGGCAGGAAAGTGCCCTCAGGGTTCCCATCAGTCGACTTCAAGTGCAGGAAGCAGCCCCTTCACCTCCGCAGCCCAGTTCTGGCTGGTGGTGGCCAGAACACCACCTCCCTGCCTCTCACACAAGGGAGGAATTTCCCCCTGATAGTTGCTGCTCTTGGGAATTTCATTTATTGGATTTTTTTTTTTTTTTCTAAACAGCATTTTCTCCATTTAGTTCATAGGATGTTGATGGGTTTCTCTTCCTTTGGCTCCTACATGAGGGCCTAGGCCTCCTCCTTCCCAGGACAGAGTCCAGCCCACCTGCATACTATTCATAGGTCTCTGAGGCCAGAGGGTGAGTCCCTGTTGTTTTCCAAGTGCTCTACTTACATCTGTTCAATTCAGTAGACGTTCACTGAGGGTGGACTCTGGGGTAAGTCTAGAGCTTATGACAATGGAAACATCTGCTCTCTGACCACGCAGAACCTTGTAGGCCAGTGAGTGAAACAGCTCTGTGGTAAGGAAGTGGGGTTGAGGAAAGAGGAGAGATGATGCCGATTCTGTTTCTCCCCAAACTGAGGTATTTCTTGGGCTTTTTGGGGCCAGAGAGAACTTCAAGGATTTCCAGTGTTCCCCAAGTGTAGCATCTGGAAATGTCCCTGTGTCCTTCCTACTCACTAGGCACCTGAACATATACTCTTTTGTGTTAATTGCTGCTGTGTCTCTTGAATTCTTGCCTCAGGTGACACGTCTTTTCAGGGCACTGCCACTGAATCCCATCTACCTTCCCCAGGGCTGTGGTGGAAGCAGGTGTTCCAGGGACGTGGCCAACATACCTGTGTTGGGGAAAATCAGGCAGCTGGGCTGGGAGTAGGATTCATGGACAGTAGAGGCCTCGGGGGCTTGACTGCCTTCCCTTGGTCCCCTTCTTTCCATTGTGTGGCTCTTGAGGATTGATTTGCTGCCAGACTTTGGGCCAACAGCTTCATGATGTGCTGTTCGAAATGTGCAGAGGACAGAGCCATAAACAGGGATGGTGCCGTGGAGTGTGCCTCCTCCCAGAGAGGAAAGAGCATTGGACAGGGAGACCTGGGTGTGGACCTGAGGCCCTCCAGTGCTTATTCGCTTGAGTCTTCACATCCATAAAAGGGGATAATGACCTCTATGTCTTATTATTGGGAAGATTAAAAGTAAATGCATTTGATAAAATTGTTAACATTTGACTGTTGAAGGGATTTCCCAACTATGACCTAATTTGAACTTCATGGTAGGGCAAGCATTATCATTTCCATTTCACAGATGAAAAACTTGGAGGTGAGAGAGTGTGAATGCCCTACTAAAGATCATACTACAGTTAAGAGGTAGAGTTTAGCTGGACTTCAGCCACCATCTGTTACCATGTAAAAGGACAGCTGACACATCGTACAGTGTTATACAAGGTTTCAAGGTCCTTTCAGGTCCACCAAGTGCTGATGCTTCCTGGGGGAACATGTAAATGTCAAATGTTACCTATATGAAATATCTAGGGGATAATTTTAAAGAAAATGTTGTAGTCAAGGAAGAAGTGAGCCTCTGGTAATCATGTGGGTCCAACTGCTTAACTGGCCATCACTTTGGGGTGACAATGGCAGATTATGAGGATTGTATAAGAACCATTGATGAGAACGTCTACCAGGTGTGTTGGTAAGCTCTGGTGAGATAGTTTGACTACACTACAATGCCTGAAAGTGTTTGTAAGAATTGTGCTTCTGCATCTGACAGAATCTGCTTATATCTTCAGAAAACTTTGTTGTGAACAAATTTAAATTACTCTTTCATGTCTGATTTCAGACGCTGTAAGTAGTGCATCTGAAAATAGGAATGTTGATTATAGTGTTTACAAGGAAATGGATGAAAATTCTATCGATAACTTAAAATCTGCTAGACTTAGGCTAAACCTAACATATCTAGTTAAAATAAGGGAAACACATTCCATCTTCAGCTTGATTAGCAAGCGGGTGTGGGGTGAGAATCGCAGGCTGAGCATGGAAAGGAAAAAGTTTTTCCAATAGGAAGGGAGGTTGCACAAGAATTGGGTGGTGGGTGATGACCCAGGGCAAAACCTGACAAAAGTAGTTTGTCTCTGTTGGGTAGAGAATGCAGAGGAGATAGGGGTCCATCAGTTGCCTTCAGCTCTACAGGCTACATCTCAGGGTGTTTCCTATGGAAGTTCCAGAAGAAAACCAGTGTGGTCAGCTTAGGGGAATATGTGGTTTGTGTTGGAACACTGAACATACCACATTACTGGAAAGATGCACACTGGATAACCAGCAAAATAAAATGCAATTTTCCAAATGTTGGCAATGATAGGAGATTCAGTTCCAATGACCAGTTGTTTATTGACTGAATGCCAGTGCAAATCATAACAAATGCATTCTAACCATGACAGCCACAGGAAGGACACAAAGAATGCAGTGTCCCTGATTCCATGAAACAGCTCATTGGAATTTGTGAATTCTAGAACCTAGAATGGGAGGACTCTGACATCCTAGCCACATGACCAGCCAAGACAAAGAACCCTGGGAGGCTTGAGGCCACAAAGATCTGAGCATCTGTGGGTCTACCTCTCCAGGAGATCCCTCACCCATGTGAGGGTCACGTGTAAGGCATGGTTGATAGGATTATTGGATTGGAGGTTGACTCTCGACTATAGGTGGAATGCCCACAGAGGGAATCTGGTACCGGTCAGCCTGCTAAACCAGGTAAGTCCTTGGTGTCTGAGTAGTAATAGGATACTATTCCATGCTTTGGCAACAGGGATTGGGAAGACATTAGAATATGGGGCTAAGAACACAGCTTTGGAGTTGAACAAATGTGGCTTTGAAGTTCAACTCTGCCATCAACTTTGGTTGGTGGTTTCGTTTCTTAGAGCCTCAGTTTCTACATCTTTGTTGTAAGATAGGAGTGGTATTATAACTTTCTTGTCAAACTACTGAAGGCGCTAAATTACATAATGTGTACAGAGTGCCCAGCACTGTGCCTGCCACATGAGAACTTACCACATAGCAAAGCAGCACCTTGGCCACTGTAGCCTCATGCGGGTGGTTAAGCAGGAAGCCGAGAATGTCCTCTGACTTCAAGGTAGGTCTGATCCTAAACTTCTAGCAACCCTCCAAAGCTTCCTCTTAACGGTGTGGGGGTATGAAGAGGGGCACAGTCTAGTTCCCTGCCATGCCAAAGTGCAAAATCTCCATTCCTATTCTTTTTCCCCAGATTCCGTCAAGGACACCAGAACTATGGGATAGCACTGGTGTAAGTGTCAGTAGAATTGAGATTGGCTCTGGCTCTGCAGCTTACCAGCTGGGTGTCCTTGAATAAGTCCTGTAATCTGATAAGGCCTGGGTTTCTTCATTCGCAAATTGGAGGCAAGCTTACTTGCTGTTTGCCCATCACTGGGTCAAGTCCAATGTCATTAGCCTGGCATTTAAGCTCCTTCCATAATATTCCCTGGCCTCATCTCATAAAATCCTCTTCATATCCACATAGCCCTACCAGGCCAAACCTTTCTTAGCATTTCCTTCATACCAGACAGAGCCTTCCTGCTCAATTATTTGTGTATCTAAAACCTTTATATCTTTACAGTAAGTGCAGCATTTAGCACAGGGTCTTGAATAGATGATTATTTTATCAGTTAGGGCTAAGTTTACGTGTGACAAGAAAACTAAAATAACAGTAGCCTAAAGAAGATAGAAATCATTTCTCTCTTATGGCAAAGAGGTCCAACAGAAGATAACCGAGGGTTGGGATGGTGGTTCCAGGAGTCAGAGACCCAACTCCTTCTATCTTGCTGCTCCACCATTCTTAGCACATCACCTCATGGTCCACTATGGCTGCCAAGTTCCAGACATCTTTTTCACATTCAGCCTTCAGAAAGGAGAGGACAAAGAAGGTAAAGAGTGCATTCTGCTCCTTTAGTGAGGCTTTACATGGATGCTATACATTATGCTTCTGCTCAAATCTTACCTGTTAGATTAGTCACATGATTATCTTAGCTACAAGGGAGGCTGGGGAATATAGTTTTTAACTGGACATATTGCCATTTCTAATAAATTGATAGGCAAGAGGGGAATAATGGTTATTGATATATAGCTGCAGTTACTTTAATAATTAAAAATATGAAAACTCACTACCTAGTTTAAAGCCTCATATAATATATGATTATGGTTACAAAAACGCTTACCTTGTTTGTAATGATATGGTATCCTGATCTTTAGGTTGTAAACAGCCCAATTCTTCCTCACCTCTGGTGGGAATGTGGTGATATGTTTATTAATGAATGATAACTCCAAGCTCTATGTGAAGATAAACCTTTTTCTTACATTTTACCAATGACGAAACTGAACTTCAATGGCTAAGTGATTTGCCTGTGGTCATAGAGCTACTGAATGAAGGAGCCAGGATGAGAGCTTCAATTTCTGGACTCCCTCAAGGCTTTTTCCAGCTCCTCCTTGATGAGTGGCCCATTCAGCTTCTGAGGCCTTGAATTTTGTGGGTTTTCTTGCTCATCTGGCACCCCTGGCAGCAGATCTAGGTCACTGCGTTGTCAGCTGCACTCCTGTCAGCATGTAGTTCAAAAGGCTTTCAGTCTGGAAAAGGGAAATAGCAAAAAATAGAGGAACATTCTATTTAAATAATGAGGGCATTACCTCTTTCCCTCTGTCCCTAGAAAACACAGGTCCCTGAATCAGGCGCTGAAGGGAGATACAGAGAAGCATATAAAATGTTTATTGCCCTTGAAGATTTGGATGTATAGATTCTTTCCATTCATTTTTTTAAAAATTATTTCTTTAGCATCGATGAAAGGTAGACACTGCACCCAGCATTGGGTATGCAACAGTAAACTGTGCAGATACAGTTTCTGCTCTGAAATTGCTTATAGTCTACTGGGGGACAAATACCAGTAAACAGGCAACTATAAAGTGGAATTAAAAGTATGGTGATGAGGAGGGGACAGGGAGCTCTGGGTAGGTCACCAAGACTGGGGTGTGTGTTGGGGGCTGGTAGGCATCAAGGCTCAGTGGAAGAATCGCTTCTCCGCCTTTTGGCTAAGATCAAGTGAAGGCTCAGCGGAAGAGAGAACATGGAACTAGAGACCTGAACTAAATACGTGTAGGTGCAGCAAGTGCTGTGGGAGAGTCATGGTGGGGGGGAAGGAAGAGAATTCCAGATGGAATGTCTAATAGCATGTGTGTGTGAGGAGCAAAGAAGGGTTTATCATGACCACAATGTGGCAGGTCTCAGTGATAATGGTGGAAGGGGTTGGGGGAGAGAAATATTAAGAAATATGACTGCAGAGGTGGGTAGAGACCTGTAAATGAAGGCCTTTGAAAAGACTGTTGGAAAGTTTATATTTTATCTTGAGGCTAATGGGATAAAGGGGTTGAGGCAGATTTATATATATATTTTTTTAAGATTTTATTTATTTGTCAGAGAGAGAGTGTGTACAAGCAGGGGGAGTGGCAGGCAGTGGGAGAAGTGGGCTTCTCGCTGAGCAGAGAGTCTGACAATGGAACTCAATCCCAGGACCCTGGGATCATGACCTGAGCCATGCTCAGGCAGATGCTTAACTGACTGAGCCACCAAGGCATCCTGAGGCAGATTTGTATTTTAGAAACACTCCTCTGGGCTCAGGGTGAAGAATGAATTACAAGGGTTGGTCCTGATGGAGGAGACTTCTCAGGAGGCTGCTATAGTAATGGTGGTTTGAACCAGAGATTGACCCTGATAGGTAAAGAGAAGCTGATGGATTTAAGATAATTTTGAGAGGCACAAACAACAGGCTTTGGTGATGAGCTGGAAGGAAGAAATGAGAAAGATGAAAGAAACCAATATTCATGAAGAAAAAAATTAAGAATACCAAAGACAGATGCTAAAAAAAACATAGAATAAGAGCTATCCAGAAAGAAAATGGTGGCACAACCATGTATTCTGAGGAAGGGATAATTTCTGTGGGCTAGAAAGATCTTGTAAGGCTTCCCAGAAAAGTTAGGATGGGTGCTGGGCCTTTTATATGGGTAGGATTTGAGTGACTGGAGAGGACATTCCAGGCTGCACAATGATGCAAGTAAGATTATTGAGACGGAACAGTGTATGATTTGTTTAGCACATGGTTTGGTCATGGTTTTTTGGGGGAGAGATGCTGAGACCTGGTTCTCCATGGTATGCAACTAAAACTTGGTGAAGGAAGGAACTGGAGAAACGAATCCCATTCCCTTCCCAGAATGGTTCAGAGTCCTTTGCGTACCCCAAGGCCACTTGTGTGGGAACCTCAAGAGGTCTATGAACCACTAGACAGCCCAGCATGACCAAAACCCCATAGATCCCAGTTTCCATCAGGAAAGAAAAACCCAAAAGTTCCTTCCCCAAAGGGAATGTTTTTGTTTGTGAATCTTCTGCAGTGACCTGGGTCCTCATGCTGAGAGCTATTGCTCTCGAGTGTTGCTATCCTATTTCTAGGCCTCTGCAGAGACCTGCCTGGCAGCTTATATTGTGAGGCCTGTGAACCCATCAGGGAGACTCCCTGAACCCAACACTGTGGAAAATACAGCTGTATGAGTGTGTGCGTGGGGCAGCCTCTCTGGTTCTGGGGTGTAAACTCTTGCTGGACACCATCCCCTGTCGAGCATCCTGCACAATACCTCTAAGTACTGGCCCTAGCCTGTATGCTGATGGCATCTTGGTCCCACCTTCTCTGGCTCAAAACCCACTGGTGTCTCCTGCTTTGACCCAGCATTGGCCCTGGATAAGGTAAATACTGATAACCTCTAACTGATGAGCAGCACCACTTAAAGTCCTAATGCTGTGCCGGACTCTTTACTATATCATCTCTAACACTCAGAAACCTCTTGCAAAGCACATGTTATTATTCCAGTTTTACCAAAGAATACACTGAGGGATATTAAAAGACTGTCCAAGCCCACTCAGCCTACCTGTCCTCTGTCCTGTATATCCTGCATGTAAGTCAAGGAAGTCCCTGAGATAACTGTGGCAGATATTACATTTTATCCTCACATCACCTTATCAAGATAAGTACTATTCTCTTTTTATAAATAAGAAAACTATAAATGAGACACAGAGAGCTGAAAAACTTATCCCAAGGTCACAGAGCCAGGAAGTAGTAGAGGTAGGATCCAAGCTAACTCAGCCAGCAAAGCCTCCTTTCTCTACCTCCTCAGGTATCTAAGACAGGTGAGGGTTGAACCTCTTTTCCTGAATCAAGGTTCCAATGCCCAAGTAGAAAAACACAGTGATTCAGAAAAATAGTTATAGTGAGGTCATACACCCCAGTCTTGAGCCACTCTTGTGTGATCCTTTTGAGGTTTTTATAGATGGGAAAACAAGAAGTCCAGAGTTGAACAAGGGCTTCATATGGCACCATGCTACCATTCTATTTTCTCAGTCCCTTCTGCCCACTCCATGCCACGTGGACATGGCCCCAGCTTGGTTGGTACCTATACCCTGCTCCTCCCCCTTCAGGCCCCAGCCTCCTGTTCAAAGGCCAAGACTACTCAGCTTTGATTCAGGTTGAATGAGTCATTAAGGATAAAACAAAGAAGAGAAGCCTACTCTCTTGCTAAATGAAATGAACCCACCCACCTTTTGACATCTTTTTGTTCTGAAATGATGATGGTATGCAATGACTCAGAATTATCATACTCAAAGAGACTACTTTGTATTTTTCCTGAAAATGAAGGGACAATGTGTGAGTAAATGAGATGAAATTGGCTCATGAAAGGAGGGAAGGATGACCTCCAGGAACATCAATGCAGAGTGGAGGCTGAATGAATGTACAAGAATGGGAGGGAACAGCAATTCCTTGGGGGAGAGGAGAGCAGGGAGGAAGCCTGTGTGGGGGGTCAAGCAGCAAAGCCCTTCAAGGCCCCTCAGTGGCAAAACCTGAACAAGCAACCACCAATTCCTAAACCTACTTGACTCAAAGTCAAGCACATTCTCAAGCAGCTGGAAGTAGGGGAAGAAAGACATTTTCAAAAGAGCTTGTATCTAATATCAGAGAGACTCTCCATGCCAAGTAGCCTGGCTAGTGGCAGGAGGGACTGGGCGAGGGACAGAGAGTACTGGAGCCAACCTTTAACACCATGTTTCTCTTGGGAGGAATGATCTAGTGGATCAAATGTACCACAGCTTGTCCTTAAAATGTGGGGTAACTGGCCTCTTGCCTAGTAGCTTCACGTCACAGCTTGGCTCTGGGTATTGCCTAGGGCCTCTTGTTCCTGGTGGTGGGAAAAAAGGACAGAACTGGAAGCCAGAGATTTGGCACTTTCTCAAGCTTAGTACTAGATGGCCTGGGGTAAAACTCTCAACCTCTCTCAGACTGTTTCCTCTGAGGAAACAGGAGGAGACTGATACAACCTACCGCAGAGGTTGGTGGTTGGGAGGATAAAATGAAATTATGCATGAAAGAGAACTGCTCTGTTTGCTTTAAGTTGCTATACAAGTGGTAGTTAGATTTAACCTATTCTGACAAGACTTGACATCAAACTAGGAATCTGAGGCCATGGGGGCATTCCATTCCATTCCTTAGCCTTTGAGAAACATGATGAGATTGGAAATACATTTTTGGAGAGTGAAAAGTTTTCTGATGAGCTTCCTTTCCTTTGCAAGGAATTCCAGGCTTCCCATGATGTTCAAAGAGCTCTGTAGGAAGCTGCTGGGGAAAACCAACCTCCATTCTGGTTTCTACAAAACTTCATTTTTGGTTGTGTTCTGTGAGTATCTCCATTTCAGTCAGTTGCACCATTACAAAGGGTGGAAAGACTTGGCAGGAAAGTAGTTTCTTGTTTCAGAGCATTAAGTTTTGATAATGTTATCATTTTGAACAGAAAAAGTTCACAGAATAGCTAATAATGGCTAATATGTAAGAGCTGGAAATAAATTAGAAAATCATGTAGTTCAACCCTAAGATTTTCTAGATGAGGACCTGAGGCCCCGCAGGGAAACTGGTTTTCCCTGGGTCTCACACTAGGGAGTGTCCCTAGGAGTCTGAGTCCTATTCATGTGCTCCTTCCCTGACTCCAGGGTCAAAAACTCAAATGTCTTCAGGGTCTAAGAAGGGCACTGGTGGGTAAAATATCAGGGAATGGTGGGATGTTCAGTTTTCTTTAAGTTTATTCTGTTTGGGGTTTGCTGAGCTACTTGAATCTATAAACTTATATCTCCTGCCAAATTTGGGAAATCTTCAGCCATTAATTTTTTTCAACTATTTTCTAATCTCCCATTCTTTCTCCACTCCCTTAAGAACTACAATGACACAGATGTCAGACAATCTGATATTGTTCCACAGGTCCCTTTGGCTCTATTTATTATTTTTTCAAACATTTTTCTCTATGTTCTGCAGATTGGATCATTTTTATTGATCTGTCTTCCAGTCTACTGACTCTTCCCTTTGTCACTTGCATTCTGTTATTGAGCCCATCTAGTGAATTTTTTTTAATTTCAGATGTTGTATTTCTTAGTTCTACAATTTCCATTTCAAAAAAGTTTCTATTTCAAATCTATTGACAATGTCTTTCTATACACTTCAAGAGTGTTTACTTTAACATCATGAAGAATGATTGTAACAATTGGTTTAAAATCTTTTTTCTTAGAATTTCAACATTGTCTTACCTTTTCCTTTGAGAATTGGTCAGATTTTCCTGGTTCTTAGCACATTGGGTAATTTTGCATTATATCTTAGGTATTTTATATGGAATGTTATGTAACTCTGGGTCCTGTGAAAAATCAGAGCATGTTGATTTTTTTGTTTTGTTTCATTTTAGCATTTAAGCAAACCAGTTAAGTGCAGACTGCAGTTCTTTCACCTTCTGTGTGCAGAGGTTCCACTCTCAGTTCAGGTTCCAAAGACTATGCTGTGCTTTTGGGTGTATTCCACACATGCAGAGTTTGGAGGTAAAGCCCAGGACTTATGCTGGTTCATACATGGAATCCCTTTCTCCCATTCTTTCCTCTCCAGGATTTCCCTCACATTCTTCAGCTCCTAGAATCACCTTTTGCTGGTCTCCTGACCAGCAAGATGGGGCTCTTTCTCAGTTAGAGCCAATAATGACATCACAGAGTTTCATTCTACTAGGCCTGCCCTCTGGATAAAATGGCAAGAGGGCATTTTAGCAGAGGTCCTTTTTCTACATCCTTCTATCCAGAGGTACAGATTTTTCTCTCAGGGATTTTAGGTGCCCAGGCTGCTGCTATGGTGGTGGCAGTATAGTTTGGAAGCTGCATCTGGCTTTGAGACTGAGTTGAGAGAGAAAATATATGTGAACAAGAATTTTCCCCACACACTCTGGCTTGCAAGGGCCCCCTTTCCAGGTCATTTGTCCAAAAAGATGGGCTGCTTTTTATAGTTGTTGCTGTCTATGACTGCTATGCAGTTTCATGAGTCGGCTCACCCTCAGGTCAAAGTCAGGAGAAAAATTTTAAGAAACTCACTGCCACCATATTGGTCATATATTGAGTTTTTCTTTCTTGCCCCAGTCCACTTGCTTTTACTTACTTTCAGAGTCCTTAATTAATTGCTTTGTGTGTTTGTATTTTGTTCAGTGTTTAGTTGTCGATCAGTGTCAGAGAGTACAATGTCCCTCCTCCATTTGGTTGGACCTAGAAGTCTAGCCACATACTTGGAATCCATCTCTTTTACTTTTAGTTGGTGCTGCCCTAGGACTTACTGGCAGAGGCCCACTGATAGAAACTGTTGTATTTAGGAATCCTATAACCCTGGTCTGGTGGTGCCAAGTCCCAGGAGTCTATGCCTCCAAGTGTTCTGCCTTATTTGGGTTGATACTTGATATAGATGTTCATTCAACAAAGGTGTATTGAATGTCCCTATGTGCTATATCTTGGAAATACAAAAATGGCTTAAACATCATCCCTGACCTTAATGAGCTCACAATTTAGTGAAATAGCAGAAATTCGGACTAGAAATTTGGGATCCAAGTCTGAAATCTTTCTTAAGATCTCTCATGTCCCTCAGAACTGCAACATGTTGTTAGCATTTCCCAGCCTGATTCTGGGGCTTTCCCTTTCTAGAAAACAACTATTGAAGGATTGTCTCTCTCTTCTGATGAAAACCAATAGCAAATCACTTTCACAAAACAGTATATAAGGTACTACTTTAAGTTTTATGAATCCTACAAAATGCCAAGATTACTCCATGTAATAGTCTTCTTGCCTAATAAATGTAGTCTTAGAGAATACAATCAGGTTTGGGGCTCCAGAACTCAAAAGGGAAATGAAGACATCAGAGGGTGTCCAGAGTAGCATTTGAAGTGGAAAAAGGATGAAATCTTATATTAAAAAAAAAACAAGAGTGGGAGAAGCTGAGGCCATTTGCCAAGGACAAAATTCTTCATAAGGAAGATTAACTACTCTCCCATGCCATCTCTGCTATCTTTTCTCTTTGAAAGCACTTACCTTCTCTTTCTACAACAAAGTAATGCCAGGGTGTTCAATCTGGGAAAGAGGATAAAAAGCAGGAGAAAGAATAGGGGTCAGCTGTTTAGCTAGCACAAGTAGGTGCCATGCATCACATCAACAAGGGTGTTCTGTGTATTAGTTAACTTACCATTGTCACGACAATCCAGCATGCCTTTGTGATAAGCTTTGTGATTCCTACATGGTCCACAGGGAGACAAATTCAAGGGTGATGCGATTTTCTCAGGATCCTAACAAGGAAAATGTAGACTGGAACCTAGGTATCCCGAGTACAGGTTCTATTTTCTCCACTGCACCAGCCTTTAGACTTTGGGGACTGAAAGTTTCCCTTCTCACACCACTAGAGCCACAGAGGTTTTCTGTGTGACATATGGGTCATTCTGAGGAGTACGGGGAAGAGATACCAATAGTGGGATCTGAGGCTCACAAGAGAGGAAGAAGTCCACTGGGAAGCCAGACTGCAAGTTCCCCAGACCTGTATCTCCTTGGAGTATAATTCAGGCAAGTGCATATTTCCCTCTCTCAAAAATAAAAAAGGTCAGTTTCTGACCATGACACAAAGGAAGGAAAGGTGAGGTAAGGGTGGCATCATTTTCCAGGACCTCTTCTTCTGACCAGGAAAGTGATTTGGGGATGGAGGAGGGATTGCTTAGTGAGGAGTAGCAGCAGCAGGATGGTGGAATCATCCCTAGTTCCCACTGAAGTTCTCAATGAGTCATGAGCTGATTCTCTAAAAATGTCACTGTGAGCTTACATACAATTATATTTCTCTGCAAAGAGAAAGGAATGTTGCCTGAGACCACTGGTCCCCACCAAACAAGCTGGATGTTGACCAAAATCTTTGAAGGTTTGTGACATCAATAAATTCCCTAGAGAAGTAACATATCTTTTGCATTTTTCTGTATATTATATTTTGAATGTCCTCTTTCTGTCTGCTTTCCCCCTGCCATGGTTGGGTCCTTATCACTTTTGCCATAAACTCCCAATAGGCTCTCTGCCACCAATCCAAACAAACACAACTCGCCATGGATCTTCAAGAAACATTTGCTTTTGTTGGGTCCAGAAGACTTCAGTGGCTTTCCACTGTACATAGGAAAAGCCTAGACTCAGTAATATTTTCCAAACATCTCCCCTACTTCCTTTTACATGAATCCTACCTTCAATCTAACTGATTTACTTATTGCTACACAAATATGCCTAGACTCTTCCAACCTTCCCAACTTTTCCCTGCCTTATGCCAACCCTCCCCTTTTCAGTCCTCACCACTGATGGGAGATCACTCCTCCTTCAAAGATGGGCTAGTCACCTAGACTCTAGGCAATTCTTCCTTCCCCTGCAATTATACCTTTGATTATCTGGACTCCTTGTGCCACGTTTAATCATCCTGTATTGTTAATTGTCTTTAGATGTCTGTAATTTCCTTCCACCTATGGATGTGACAGTACAATGCCATATTTTTCTCACAGAATAGGCACTTGATATTCTATTGCAAAATTTACTAGAGCTTTAAAATTTCATAGGAAGATAACTTTGTTATTAAAAATGGTTTACTATTTTCAGTGAAGACTTAGGGTTCTTGAGATGGCAGAAGAAAAAGAGATGAAGGGATTTCTTTTTAAAAATTATTTGTCCTTCTTATGCATATTATATAACCGCTGATTATTTCCAGTGTTAAAGAAATAGTCCCTCTGGACTTTCTAAAATGATTCAAACTTTGAAATGATTCACCAGTGTGACAAAGAAGAAAATCAAATATTGGTTCCTTTGAAGGGAAAAATAAACTGGCTACACTTTTTTTCAATATTTTGAAAGAATTAAAATGCACCACAAAATGCAAGAATACGCTTTTGCATCTTTGGTAGCAAGTAACAACATGAAAGAAAGTGCTAGGAAACAACTAAATTTCGGGGAAGAAACTTGTCAAGTTTCATAGTACAAAAATTATGTATTTGCCTTTGAATGAAACACATTTTTAACATCTCCCCAGGATATAAACATCATCTCCTTTCCACTGATCTCTTCTTGGGCAAGAAAAGTCATGGAGCCGAAGCCAGCACCTCTCAACCTGAGCATTCCTCTTGAGAAGGAAAGTCTCTCGGGTTTTGTTCCTATCACAGGGATCCTTAGGAAGTAGGCAGGGCTTTTTTTGCCTGACTTTATACTTCAGCACCTCTCACTGACTGACCAGCTGACCAGAATGTTTTTTGTTCCCCAGTTTCTCTACGGAAACTAGGGCTCTAGATCTTACCTCCTCCTCCTCTGTCTTCACCATTTATTCTTTCTTTACCCACTGAACTAGTTTTCTGTTGCCTCATAACAAATTACCACCAACTTAGAGGCTTAAGACGCATAAATTTAGGGGTGCCTGGGTGGCTCAGTGGGTTAAGCCACCCAGGTTATGGCTCAGGTTATGATCTCAGGGTCCTGGGATTGAGCACTGCATTGGGCTTTCTGCTCAGTGGGGAGCCTGCTTCCCCCTCTCTCTCTGCCGGCCTCTCTACCTTCTTGTGATCTCTCTGTCAAATAAAATCTTAAAAAAAAAAAAAAGACAGCATAAATTTATTATCCCACGTGGGCACAGGTACAGGATAGCTGCTCAGGGTCTCCTCAGGCTGGAATCAAGGTGTTGGCCAAGGTTGCCATCTCACTTGAGGCTTAGGGTTTTCTTCAAGCTCACTGCTTGTTCAATTCATTTCCAACTCCTATAGGCCACATGCTCTTCCTAGCCATGTGGTTTTCTCCACAACATGGAAGATTTTTCCTCAAAGTCAACAGGAGAGCCTATATTCTGCTTGGAATCACTGACTTCTGCTAAGACCTATACACTTTTAGATCACTTGCTTAGTTCAGGCCCAGGATAATTGTCCTTTTAATTTGTTTAAAGTCAATTGATTAGGGACTTTGATTATATCTATATAAACCCCCTTTACCATATAAGGTCACATAATCACAGGCATGAAATTACATCTTCTTAAGTCCTGCTCACTGTCCTGGGGAGAGGATTCTACAGGGGGTTGGAATCTTGGGGAGCTGAATTCCACCTACTATAGAATTACAGTGGAATTATAATTCCACCAACTATATCTACCCCCCTCCATGTTCTCAGTCCATGGGGCTCAAGTCTTCCAATTAACAATGCAGCAGAATAGGTCCCAGGTAAGTCCCTTCATCATTCCTGAGCCTTTCTCTTGAAGTAGCTTCCTGGTTCTTCTCTCTGGGTCTGCACCCCCAGATCCTCTCCCATTGACCCCTCCTCAATATACCTGAAGAATTAATGCAAGTGTCCCCTCCTTTGTGACCCTCTTCCCTTATTTATTTCCCACCCTCTTTCACCAAGCAAAATTAGGAGCTTTCTCTGCTCCCTAACACCCTGTATAAGCCTGTGGGCCAACAGTCATCTGCTTTACTGTCACCTTGGCATAGCTGCCTCTCCTTTTGGTTCTTAAGTGTCTTTAGGGAAGGGATCTATCATGTCCATTTTTATCATATCAGAGCAAAAGTGCAGTAAAAGGCACATACTAGGTGCTTTGTAAAGGTTGGAGAAAGAATGGAAAGCCTAACAACAGTCCAGCAGAAAGTATGTGGGGACAGGGGACATTGTCAGCTGGTTCAGAGCATGGGGGTGTGAAGACAACAGTGGAGGGCAGTGAGCAGCACCCAGTGCTTCATGTGTCAAGTTCATAGTGTCTGACTTTGGTTTTGAGACATTCTGAAGCATATGACTATGTTATCCATTCATCCCTGCTAGCTGAATTTTTCCTAGACATATAACATAGGCCATGACCTTATGGTTTTTTCAGGAATCTTCCAAAACCCAAAATTTTCCTGTAATGCACTGAAGAGTTGGTACTCACAGGTGTTGTTCTACATTGAAAGGAAGAAAAGCAGGCACCTGGAGTAGTACACTATTTTTTTTTTAAATTTTATTTGACAGAGAGAGAGAGCACAAGCAGTGGGAGCAGCAGAGGGAGAGAGAGAAACAGGCTCCCCGCTGAACAGCCCAATGCAGGGACTCAATCCCAGGATCCTGGAAACATGACTTGAGCAGAAGGTAGACACTTAACTCAATGAACCACCCAGGTACCCCATAAACTATTTTGAATTAAAATCCTAAAGCTTAAGTTACAGAGTTTTTTGCATTTATCTTCTTAAAAATAAACTTTAGGGGCTCCTGGGTGGCTCAGTTGGTTAAGCATCCAATTCTCACATTTGGCTCAGGTCACAGTCTCACAGGTTGTGAGATAGAAACCCACCTGGGGCTCCATGCTCAGGAGGGAGTCGGCTTGATGACTCTCCCCACTGCCCCTCCCCCCCACTTGTGTGCACTCTCTCTCTAAAATAAATAAATCTTTACAAATAAATTCTAAAAACCTGAATATTTTGCCGAGAATTTTCTCTTAAAGGAGACACAGAAGAAATGCCATGTCACTGAGAATTTCACAGCTTATGGTTATCTTACAAGACTTTCTAAGAGTGGTAACTCCATCTCCAATCTACTTTTCTCTCTTAAAGAAATACAAATTTAACTATAGAAGTAACATTTGGAAAATGTGGAAAATGTAAAGGAAATAAACAGTCTTCATAATCTGACCACCCCCTGAAAACTACTATTAACAAGATTTGGTTTGGAAAAAAAAAAAGGAGAGTTTTACTCCTGGAAAGGACTGCTGTCTCTATTCAATACTTCACAGCAAACGTTAACCTTAGTGATGCTGGGTGGAGGAGAAACACAAGTCATGTAAAGGTGATTTTATTTGGCAAGATTTACTTCCCGGCTAGCACCTAAAGGGAGAAGAACAAGGAGAAAGCATTGGTTTCCATAAATCCCTAAGACAAGGAATGCACTGTGCAAATCCAGCACCAAGGAGAGCGCCAAGTGGGACCTTCGACTCAATTTTATGGACACTTGCATATGTCTTCCAACCCAGAAAAACAGCAAAAACGTTATTTTTTAAATCATTAAGTAAATACAATGTCAATATTTAATTTAAGCCAAGCTGTCTTTAGAACACACTTAGGGTTTCTAATAAGTTCTCCATCTCCCATTCTATATTTTTTCTACCCGACCTCACATTTC